TGTCCTGATTGCACGTGTCTGTACAGGTTGCAAAGGGGGCTTCGTGATTTCCTGGACTTTCAAGCAGGGATTCGTTTTCGTAAGGTCCTATCGGAGACCTCGTGCCGAGGCCTGCTTCCTGCTTACAGAGTAAGCGTTTACAAGTGAGCGAATTGTTTTTTATTACTTCGAAATTCATAAAGCATAACGGAGTCATTATGCTGCCTAAGTAGTCATACGATATTATTCAAAGATGTAAATTCTGCAGGGTTTCCAAAAATTGTGATCACGTGCAGGCCAATAACTTCTTTATTTTCAAATCTGCTGGGCTTCGATATTCTAAAATAGCTTAAGCTTACTTCCTGTCATAATTCGGATGTAAGGGTCTAACGTTGGACATCTCCTCAGAGCAGGCGTAATAGCTTCAATACAAAACATTATGATATCAACTAGTTGTGTTGGGAACAGTGCAGTTGGTTACCTCATTAGAGATGTTCCCTGGCTGTTGCATCTTTCTTTGGGCTTTACTGTAGATTTATGGAGGTAGATCAAAGGGTTGTAATCAAAGGCCCTTTAAGGTCTACTTACAGAATTGTATCGCGAACAGCGATCTACCAACCTCGGAGGGATAGTTTTGGTTAAAATCGATATTCTTGGATGCCAAAGAAGGTGTTTCGTCTATGTCTACTTACCTTCCACTTCATTGTCAAAATAGCTTGGCATCACTTTGCCTTTGAAAGCCAAGCAAACTTCCTCGTAGAGTAGAGCATCTTCTAAACTATTTGTAACATCTATAAAACATTCATATATATTATAGAAGGGAAATTTCTGGTATTTAGGGTTTCAGATTGAGAAACCGACAAACTTTTTCATTGGCAATATTTTTCCGTCGAATTTCAATTTTCAAATGCTGTGGAACTCACAGATAAACATGAAATTTGAGCGAACTCAGAAATAGAGTAGTCTTCTGTCAAGTCCCATTTGCTGACCTATGCTCTACCTATCTACCTCCCTAAAGTGGTGCCGGTCTAGAATAACATAAATCAAATCGGACAAATTTACAGTGCTAAATGCGATCAAAATAACATCAAAAATGGAGGGTGTGCTACAGCTAGTGCCTCTTTTATGAAAG